TAGGAGTGGTGGCGAATGAATGGCACATGTGGCAGAGTGAGCACTCGGAGACCTCTCTGTGGGCACACGCACCATCGCCCCAGCATGGCCGTTGTTGGGGGCTGGCAAAGTGGGCAGCCGCTCCCCCCCCAATTGAAAACAGACAGGCCGATCGGTTAAGAGGCAGATAGCTATTTATGTTGTTAGCTTTTATGAAAATAATAAGCCGAAGGTGGATGCACACACGAAATAAAGCCAGCCAGGAACTACTAGTCCCCAAGCAAGTTCAGCCTCCAAAATCAGTATCAGTACCTCCAGCCAACCAGCTCCAAAAAAATTAGAATGATAGCATTCTCTTGCAGGACAAATTATTCAGATTTTATCTTGGTGTGGTCAGTGCTTCTCTGCAAGAAGAACATTTCAAGAAATCTGTTCCGAGAGGGGCAGCAGTTACACCTTTACTGAAGAAGCCTCCTCTCAGCTTGGTGATTTTGGAAATTACAGAGCAGCTTGAAATCCAACAGTTTTGGCTAAAATGGTTGAGCGAGCAATGATTCCATCTCTTTATGACTTAGGGCTCATCCGCTTCACCCATCACTTTCCCCAGGGGGGAACCCACTGTTTCCCTCTGGATCAGAGTAAAGTCAAGTGGGTTTTCTGTGGAGTGATGTTTATGCTGATTTAGATCAGAAGGTCGGAGGTTCGAATCCCTGTGACGGGGTGAGCTCCCGTTGCTGGGTCCCTGCTCCTGCCAACCTAGCAGTTCGAAACCATGTCAAAGTGCAAGTAGATAAATAGGTACTGCTCTGGCAGGGAAGGTAAACGGCATTTCCGTGCGCTGCTCTGGTTTGCCAGAAGTGGCTTAGTCCTGCTGGCCACATGACCTGGAAGCTGTACACTGGCTCCCTCAGCCAGTAAAGTGATATGAGTGCCACAACCCCAGAGTCAGCCACGACTGGACCTAATGGTCAGGGGTCCCTTTACCTTTAACAGGTTGGAAAGGCAAAACCACCTGGACCTGTGGTAGGTGACCTGTGTGGTCTGACATGTACCTTCTTTCAGCTGATATTATTCTTTCATATAGGGGTAGCCAACATCGTACTCTGCAGATGCTACTGAATTATAACACTTCTAATCTCTGCCTATTGGCCATGCTGGTGGGGTTGGGAGTCCAGCAACATCTGAAGGGCACCATAATGGCTGCCCCTGCGTACACCAATAGCCTGCCTTTCCTTCATCACGGAACTGGAGGTTAGCATTCATGGGGTTCTTAGGCAAACTCTCATCAAACAGCAAAACATAATAGAAGAAAAAGAGTTTGGATTTGATATCCTGCTTTATCACTACCCTAAGGAGTCTCAAAGCGGCTAACAATCTCCTTTCCCTTCCTCCCCCACAACAAACACTGTGAGGTGAGTGGGGCTGTGAGACTTCAGAGACTTCAGAGAAGTGTGACTGGCCCAAGGTCACCCAGCAGCTCCATGTGGAGGAGCAGGGAATCGAACCCGGTTCACCATATTACGAGTCCACCGCTCTTAACCACTACACCACACTGGCTCTCACACTCTCTCTCTAATAATAGATTTATACCCCGCCTATCTGGCTGGGTTTATTTATTTGTTTGTATGTGCGAATGCAGACAATCGTTATTATCCCCTATTAAATGGCCGCGTTGGCACTTTGCGACAAAAGGGCAAGGGTCCCAGGGGGAGGGGGCAGCTGTGATGTCACCCGCCCAGATGTCACCCGTGGCGGACTGCTCCCGTGCCCCCACCTTCATTTGTCAGTGGCAGAGTGTCTGCTTCGCATGCAGAAGTTCCCAAGTTCAATTCCTGATGACATCTCCAGGTAGGCCGGGGAATTTCCCCTGCTTGAAACCTTGGAGAGCTGCTGCTTCCAGTCAGTGTAAACAAGATTGAATTAGATGCACCACTGGTCTGGCTCCGTGTTCAGGCAGCTTCCTGCCTTCTTGAATTCCAACAGCTGCCGTTTAGCATCATCCCCAAGTCCAAAGCAAAAGCATCTCTATCTGCCAGCAATCAATGAGCTCTAATGCTGCAGAACCAACACTTATGCAACTGGAGACAACAGGATACCATACCGTCGTTGAGTTTATATGTTGCAGAATTATATTCACCGGCTCTGAGAGGTTCTTAACAACCACATTTTCAACACTGGCGCCCACAACATAGGTGATCAGTTTTTTATTCTTTTCCTGTAACAGACAGGTGCAGAGTTTCATAGCTTGGGAGCCAACCATTGGTAAACACAACTCAACTCAACACAATACAACACAACACAACAACACAACACAACACCACAACAACCCTCTTTTTCTCTTATACATTTTCGGTTGAATGAGCGATTTGCAAGATCTGAATTAACTGTCAACCCTACCAGCTCTTCCTCTCCCACCCACCTCCTCTTTTTCTTTTAAATTGTTTATTAATTTATTAATTTTGGGAATGAAAAACAAGAAACAGTACCCACCAAATTTCTAATAAGTCCACATCCAAACATCTTCCAATATTTGGCTATAATTAAACAACCACTGCCATTTTAAAAAAGGTGATCAATTCTTTGTTTCTTAAACTCTTATTATTTTTAAATATAGAAAGCAAAGTTTTTTGTCTGCCCCTCCCCCCAACTATCACTCTACATTCTGCAGTTACTGAGCATGCTTACTCTTTGCTGGACTGATTTGGAAGAATTTTTCAACCCCTTTTAAGATTTTTGGTGCTACTTGCTTCTCGTTCTCACTTGGGCTACAATTCTGGCGGACCTCGCCACCCAAATTAGCCATTATAAGGAGTGCTGTTAAAGTGCAACTGTTAGCAGATGGTCCCTCGGCCCAATTCAAGCTGTCTTCAAGGATGTTCATGGTCTGGACTCCCAAATATCTTCTGCATGTACCCCAGCAGCACCTGCTGTTAAAATCTGCTAGCAAAGCCTTTTTCCAGGCACCTTCCTCTCATGAAGTGAGAAAGCTACCTGTCAGGAGCAGAGCCTTCTCTGTGGTGGTCTCTGGGGCAACCTTGAGAGACGTGCTCTGTCTTCCTCCCCAGCCTCTTTGACAGAAATAAGGCATGTGGAAACTGACATTGTCTGGTTGTTGGTATGCCTGATTTGGATCTGTTTAGAAATTTAAAAAACTGTGTATACCGCCTTGTGAACCTATGTGGAAAATCAGAAGGAAGGAAGGAAGGAAGGAAGGAAGGAAGGAAGGAAAAAAGAAAGAAAGAAAGAAAGAAAGAAAGAAAGAAAGAAAGAAAGAAAGAAAGAAAGAAAAAAAGAAAAAAAGAAAGAAAGAGCAGGCAGTCAAAGGACTATGCTGAAGGCCAATTGAAATGTGTGAGAATATTTAGAATTAGCCAAATTGACAGATATAATAAGACAAAAACCAAAAAGTGAAGTGAAAAAGGAATGGGAGTGCCTAAATGAATACCTTAAAAACCAAGATTCGAGGACAGAAATCTGGCTGGGTCTGGAATAACCTTGTGAAGTGAAAGGATAAGAAAGAGGGATTTATATCTAGATGTTAAGATCAGCGGCGTAGCGTGGGTTGTCAGCACCCGGGGCAAGGCAAGTAATTTGCGCCCCCTAACCCGTGGATTTGCGCCCCCTAACCTGTGGATTTGCGCCCCCTAACCCGTGGATTTGCCCTAACCCCAGATGTTGCGCCCGGTGCGGCCGGCCCCCCCTGCACCCCACACGCTACGCCACTGGTTAAGATAGAGATGATAAGGAAAACAAGAAAAAAGGAAGATACAATGAGAGGTAAAGGAGGTGCTGTGGGATTGGTAGAAGTCAATGTTTGTTTTTCTTTTTAGTGTTTATATTATTAACTTGTAAGATATGGATTTGGGTTTTTTTGTATGCTGGTTTTTGTGTTTTGTATATTGTTATTTTCTGATATTTTTCGTGTTGTTGTTGTTGTGTGGAAAATACTAATAAAATTTACTTTAAAAAAAGAAAGAAAGAAAGAAATGTGTGTGAGAGAGATTCTGGAGCTTCCTCTTGCCATTTGCTTCCTGATCTGCCTGTGCCATTCGGTGGTGGCCATTTTTACCTGAAATGGCGAAGTTGTTCCGAAGAAAGAAAACTGGATCTTTGTGTGGTCTTCTGGCTCAAAGGACTGGGCCTCCAAGTAACCCTTCAGCAGTTCTGGCAAAAATATGGATGCCAGGGCCGTTTCAAAGGGTGCCTGGCGGATATCAATCTGCATGGAAGAGAAAATGTTTGGGGGGCTAGAGTCACCTCCAGATAAAACTACAGATGGTCACATATTGTCACCCTCCTTTCCAAGTTCCCTATGTACATCTAAGCCACAGTCCAGAGAGCAAAGCCCATTTTCACCCCATTTTTCAGTGGAAGAGTGGGAGACTTTGACTTAGCAGCTCTCTGGATCTGGCAGGAACTGGTCGTGGGGCAGAAGGACAGAGTCAAAAGAAGGGCCTCTTACCTGTGGATCCATTGCAGAGTCATAGGATATGACCCCAAAAGCAACTCCCTTGAAATTCACGGGATCTGGGCGCATGAGAGCCAAAGCCAGCCTTGGGAGAACGATGGACTCACTTTTCCCACTGAAGTTCAGCTTGAAACCTATTTGTTCCAGTACCTTTAAAATGCTAAACAACAAAAGGAACAAAACAAGTGAGCTTTGTTTTGTGGCTCTCACAACTAGACCGTGGGATCCCCTTCTCTCTCATTATCGACCCATGTATTATTCTATTTGGTCCTTACTACACCAACATACGTGGGACGCGGGTGGCGCTGTGGGTTAAACCACAGAGCCTAGGACTTGCCGATCAGAAGGTCAGCGGTTTGAATCCCCGCGACAGGGTGAGCTCCCGTTGCTCGGTCCCTGCTCCTGCCAACCTAGCAGTTCGAAAGCATGTCAAAGTGCAAGTAGATAAATAGGTACCACTCTGGAGGGAAGGTAAACGGCGTTTCCGTGAGCTGCTCTGGTTTGCCAGAAGCGAGTCATGCTGGCCACATGACCCGGAAGCTGTACGCGGCTCCCTTGGCCAATAAAGTGAGATGAGCACCGCTACCCCAGAGTTGGCCATGACTGGACCTAATGGTCAGGGGTCCCTTCACCATTTACCTGTATGTATGTATGTATGTATGTATGTATAAATTTATTATTTATTGTTATTACTACTACCACTGTGAGAATAGGCTGCTGGACTTGATGGGCCATTGCCTGTTCCAGCAGCCAGTCTCTTCTGATACTCTCACTGAATTAAGTGGGCAAATGGAGGACAGAAGCAAATCATGCCTCCACATAGCATTAGGAAGCCTGCCTCCAGTTTCACAGTTTTTCACACCATCTG